GCTGGTGCTCGCTTGCTGTCTCTCTCTCTCTCTGTCTCTCTCTCAAAATGAATAAATAAACATTAAAAAAAAATAAAAACACTCAAGTAATTTTATTTAAATTTTGAAGAAGAAACATTCTGGAGAAGTATTTTTTGTTTAAAAGAATTGTACAGTGTTGTTATATTTTTCATATATCTATAATCATTGGCTGAGGCAAAAGTAACTTGAAAATTACTTAAAATCTGTTTTGAAATAGATATCTTTCGGAATCTAAACTAATTACAATTGATTTTGAGTAGCGGTTGTTGATAAAATGTATAAATTGGTATAATTACAGGAAAATAGCTGGTAAATTATCGAAGGCTAGAAATGTTTCTGTTTGAATTCATAATATTTTTGTAAGAACACTCTGGTCTCTTGTTTTTATGGCTGAAATGTCTATTGACGTAGAGTATAAAAGATGGAAACCAACATAAATCGTTGAAGTTTTAGTAGTCAGGCTGCGTCTCATGCTGTAATAACACTCAGCATCGTGTTGTTGGTCGTGTTTATGGCGTCTGTAAGCAAACCCCACACGTACTATGTTCTGTTCCCCGTAGTCTGCTCATGGAGGCAGAATAAGAATGGCCCCTCTAAAGATGTCTGCGTCTTAATCCTCGGAACCTGTGGATACGCTATGTGACATGATGGGGAAATGAAGGTTGCTAATCAGCTAATCTTAAGAAAGAGGTTAGCTTGGATTATCCAGTGCAATCCCAGGGTTCCTTTAAACGTGGAAGGAGGAGGTGGAACAGCCCACATCAGAGCGATGTGATGTGAGAAAGACTGAATCAGCCGTCGCCGGCTTAGAAGATGGCAGAAGAGATCGTAAACCGCGGAACGCGGGCCACTTCTGGAAGGTGGAAAAGACCAGGAGATAGATTCTCCTCTGGGGCCTCCAGGATGAACGTAGCGCTGCCAAAACCTTGATTTAGCCCAGTGACATCCCTTTCAGACTTCTGACCGCTAGGTTTCATTGCACCCACCTAATCCACTCAGGGATGGGCACCGACCGGCCTCAAGGACAGTCAGCCTTAGTTAGGCTGCCCCAGTGGGTCCCAGCCCTGTCCCTGCTAGAATCACCTGGGGAGCTTTAAAACAAGGTGCTAGGAATCCCCCCAGAGATGATGATTGGAGTGTGCCCTGGCGGTGTGATCTAGAGAATCTGGTACCGTGTATCCGCATTGAAACGATGAGCCAGGTCAGCCCTATGCTTGCAGGAAGTTTGACCTAAGAAACACGGCGAGCTCGCTAGGTTATTATGGGACCTGCTGCTGAAGTGTCCCCCAGGACCAAAGCAGTGATGGCCACCCACAAGCTGAAGCTGGGGTTGTGGGCAGAGTTTAAGAGAAGGCAGAGGAAGCCAGCTGGTGAAGGCAGGCAGAAAGCATGGGCAGAAACAGGAGCTGACTGGGAGAGAGACCGCAGGTCGCAGCCAGGCGGAGGGAGCACCTTGTCCCTACACCTGCGCAGGGGAGCTTTCCCTCCGGTTCAGGGGGCAGTGGTCGGGCATCCTCAGAGCACACCTGCTACCTTCCCCTTCCTCGTGATCCATGCTTGCGGTCCAAAGAGACTGCCGGAAAGGGGACTATAGTGATACGTACGCCAAGGATGTAATTGTAGGAAACTAATACACCTAGTTACTTACTGGTAGTAGAATAGCACGTTGTCGGTTACCAGTGATTTATTCATGAGTGATTGTTCACTCGGGATCCCCTAGGTGCAACGCACAGCAAATAAAATCGGCTTGGTACCTGCGTGGAATTTTAAAAGCATATATAATTGGCGGTGATGTCATAGAACAGGAAGCATATGCACTTACTATGACGATGCTCTAGCACTCACACGTGTAATAAATGACCGCTCCATTTGGGGTGACTCCATTTTGTGGGGGGCTTGCACGGAGTCGAACTATATGACAGGAGATATTTTTTGATCTAATTTTTTATGGTCTAAACTTGCTAGGAAGAATCAGAATTTAAAAATTACGTTTTTATGTTATTTTCTAATTTTGTAATCCTTCATCAGGTATTTTTAAAATGAAGTTTTAGGAATGCATGAATCTGTCATTCAAAGTCTTTTAAAAAAAAAAAAAGTCTTCTACTGAGCATTAATTCCCAAGATAAAGTCAAAAAGGAATCTATTTTTTTATCCCATTAGGCAGTAGGCCCAGATAAGTCTTAATCTTCCCTGCTTTCCTACCCACCGTCCCACACGCCATGACCACCCCTCGTGGGGGTTCCCCAGGTTAGGAGCAGGTGGTAACATCACCTGAACTTCTCATGAACCAGATAGAGAGAGGCTGGACTCCATCTACAAAGGCCACGGTGGGCAGAGTCCCATGGGAACTTGAAGGATTTGCCTCGACCCCACACACACTCCTATGCGCCTGAACAGCAGAGACTTGCCCTGGGCGACCTTCTGCGATGGTCCAGGGTAACTGATTCTCCAGTAGGTGCAAGGGAGGAAGAACAGACCAGGAGTCCACAGGAATTTGGTTGTTCTTTTCCAAAAAGGAAAACTTAGAAATCCAGGCCCCGTTTCACCAGATCATTCTGATTCTCATCACGTGTCTGGGGCAGTTCAGCATCATGCAGATATCGCTGACTTTGCATAATCAAGAAAAGAATATGGTCCTGGATACCAACTAGACCTCTGAAGCCCCTAAAATTCTGCATAACTTCTGGGAAATCTATAGGTTTTTACCAAGTACCATGTTCCCATTATATCCAGATGAGACACTTGACTTTAAAGGATGAGAAATTTTGTCAGCCCTAGATTTTTTTAACCAGGCTTTTCAGGGAATTGAAATCTTTTCAATGAGAAAATATTGATTATTGTAATGAGTTTAAGAACAGTCATAGAAATGCAAGAGCAGATTTGTAACTTGAATTGCCTTATAGTTAAAAGATCAAAGCTTTCTCCAATAAAGAATTAGTAATTTTCAGATTTTTTTTTTCTTTTGTGTGTTCCTGACTTCTAATAGGAGTGATCTGGGGGAAGTGGGAGGAGACAGGGAAGCCATTATTTAAAACAGTTTTGGTTAGGGGCGCCTGGGTGGCTCAGTCGGTTAAGCGTCCGACTTCGGCTCAGGCCGTGATCTCGTGCTTCGTGAGTTCGAGCCCTGCGCCGGGCTCTGTGCTGACAGCTCAGAACCTGGAGCCTGCTTCTGATTCTGTGTCTCCCTCTCTCTCTGACCCTCCCCCCATTCATGCTCTGTCTCTCTCTCTGTCTCAAAAATAAATAAACGTTAAAAAAAATTTTTTTTTAAACAGTTTTGGTTAATAGTGTGTTACTTGGTTTTCTAACTATGGAATATTGACTTTTTTTCCTTCAAATAATGACAGTTTAGTGTAGCAATTAAATCAGTGCTTTTTCATCATTTTGCTTGATTAATAATCTGAGTACTCTTGTTCCTATCAGCTAGTTGCTCAATTAAAATTACAGTATCTTGCAATCAAATTCCTACTGATATTATAATGTAATTTTAATATAATTTGCATTAAAAAGGACATGGGAATATAGGACATTTGTGCCAAGGATGACATAAACCCTCTTTAATACCTCTAGGCTGTTTTTTACTACTTCTTTTCTCTTTGTTCTTGTGATAATAATGGTCTTTCTTTTCCCATCTGAAGAAGCCTCCCAGGATGTCACAAAGAAAGGGATCAGACCTTTAGTGCAGCACCCCCCTACCAAGGTTTTTGCTTGTATTAGATGGCATTAATGAGATAATACAGAGAACTTACAGAGCACAGGAAAGCACACAGGAAAAAAAAATTTCAAAATTTTCATTAATCAGAGAAGGTAATCGGTAAT